AATGTATTGCTCTATTTGTAGTTTTAGTAATAACTTATTATTGATAGGACTTTTCTCATTGGCTATAGAATGAAGTTAATCATGAAAGGTCCTTAATTCTATGTTCTTTTAAATGTGAAAACCCATTTGAGTTCTAAAGCACATTTTCATACCATATAAAGGCTCAAGGAAATTTCTAAATTTCTAAAACATGTTAATAGACTAAGTTTTTATTATAAATGGTATATTTTAAAGTAAGGTTTAATATTCTCTGTATTTTACATCCGTAATCTATAGCTAAACTTTCCTATTTGCCTCCCAATTCTCCATTCCATTTAATTCAGTATCTGCATTGTAATGCTTATACACCAAGAGGACATGACAACATACCCTTTCCAATCCGCACTATTGATCAAAATAATACTCTGCTAAATGCTACATAAAATAGAAATCACCCCAATGAGTCTTCAAATATATTTGCTCACTTAACTATTTTGGTTTTTATGTTTGTCTTGGAATCCTCTTCCGTTTGTCTCAGTTGGTCCAATCCCACTGGAAAAAATATTTTGTGAGAAATAAAACACATTCACCTAACTTTTAATATGGTATATTGTAATAGTTGTTCTATAATAATTTTATTATTATTGTTAATTTCTTACTGTGCCTAATTTATAAGTTAAACTTTATACTGAATCTAAAACACTTCAGACTGCATCTTATACCTTTTCAGCCCTTGTAGAATGAGGGGTAACGCATCTGCTTTCGTTCCTGACTGGTTATTTGTGTCCTTTTATGTACAGTTGCATATATGTATTTATTTTTTCAGTCAGACAAATAAAAGTTTGCCAATTTTATTGATCTTTTCAAAGAAGAAACTTAATTTTCATTAATTGTCTCTATTTTTCTGTTATCTATTTCATTGACTTTCAGTATGATCACTATTTTCTCCCTTTTTTTGGTACAGGTTTAAGTTGCTTTTTCTTTAAAAACTTTTAAGCCTGGATTATTAAGACCCCTTTTCTTTTCTAATGTAGGTGCTTATAATAACAAGTAGTTTTCAGATCTGTGAAAGCTGCAACTCATAAATTTCAAATTTTTCATTCAGTTTGAAATACTGTCAAGCGCTTCTTGGCCTTTTGGCTAAGATCAAGTGAAATGTTACCTGATTTCCTTTACTTCTTTGGGCTATGAGTAATTTCCAAATATTTGGGGTTTTCAAACCTCTTTTTATTGTTGAGTCCTAATTTAATTCCATTGTATCCAGGGAATGTACTTTGTCTGAGTTGAGGCCTTTTAGAGACCTGTTTTATGCCTCACCAGATGGATTACCCTGGAGTACATACTCTTTAAAAAGAACACACGTTTCACTGTTACGAAGTACAGTGGTCTGCACTCATGTTGGGAGTGTTTTTTTTGTTTGTTTGTTTGATACCGGGGATCAAACTTGAGTCCTTGTGCTTGCGCAGCAGGCGGCAAAACCACTGAGCTAAATCCCTGGCCCAGGGAGTGTTTTTCAAGGCTTCCATACCCTTAGTTTTCTTTTTAGATGTCTTAGCCATTATTGAGAGTAGGGTATTGAAGCATTAAGCTATTAATATTTCTCTATTTTTCTGTTCAATCAATTTTTTTATTTGCAATTCTGGGGATGAAGCCCAGTGCTTCAGGCAGGTTATGCAAACACTCTCATCACTGAGCAACACCTCTAGCTCTTCAATTCCATGAAGTTTTTCTTTGTAAATTTAGGGTTACATTGTTGGGATACATATACATTCATCTTTTGACTCTCTTATCACTATAAAACATGTCTCTAGGAATATTTCCTGTCTTAAAGCTTATCCTGTCTGATATTAGTATTGTCACTAAAAATCTCCCATGGTTACTGCCTGCATAGCCAATCACTGGCAAGTCTTGTTGGTCTTATCACCATCACAATATACGATACAATCTTCACTTTTGTAGTTGTTACTCTTGCAGTGTTTAATATGCAAGCTTTTCCATAACAAGAAAACTATAAATTCTTTAATCACTTTTGTGCATTTTTGGTACAGTTTTGGGTATCACACCAATGAATATCTGATTCATTAAAAGCAATTAGAGATCAAAGCAAGTACAAACGCATTTGGCTGCAGGGTATTGTTTCCTGATGCCCTTTGACCCTCAGGTTAGATATCAGATGTACAGAATGATGCTTATCTACCTTTCTGTCTATCCTGGATTTGTGAAACCTACAAAGATTATTACCACAACTCCTGTTTCAATGCAAAGCATCACATTTTAGGAAGACTAGTTTAAATCAGATGCCTTAATCTTAGGAATTCCTGCCTCTCCTTCAAGCCTTTGATGAAATGTTTTAAAAATTATTTTAGAACATTAAATATATTACATATGATGTACAATGTGCATAGTGCTATCTCATGATTAAAGTGGGTACATACCTTTGAGCTTTTAGGAATCATTATTTTATCAGGAAATGTAACCATTACATGCCTTTTACAATTGAAGATTGAATGATTTCTACCTAGCACTTATTCTTTAGCATTTTAAAGACTTGTTCAGTGAAAGGAGTCTACTGACTGCCCCATTTGTTAATGTTTAAGACATGTGATTTTTATCTAGGTGGTATCTGACAATTTAGACAGGACTCCAACATAACATAATACGCACATTTCAAGAGGAACTTTAAAAATTCTAGTCTGCTCAAAAAATCATAGGGTAAAAGAACATTTAAAAAAATTTTTCTTGTCCTATTAAACACCTAAAATTTTCACTGATATTTAAAATAGAATGATTACCTAACTATATTTTTAATACCTATAGATAATTGCATTTTTACAAAATTATTGTATTGGTATTTCTGATTTGTGGTTTTCTTAAAATCACCTCTGTATTTGATATAAGGAGATGAAAAATGATGCAATTATTTAAAAAGGTGTAGGGGATAATAGAGAATAGAAGAGGATTAACGTTAATTGAATGGAAGCATATAACCATGGAATAGGATAAATGAGAACATTTTCCTTCTGAAAAATAAATTTATTTTTTTCATAGGAGTACCTATTTCTATAAGCAATTTACTTTGTTCCATTGTCCATTTGACTTTCCATTTCCAGGATTGAAGTTCTTCACTGTAAGTCTAAGTAGAGCGCACACACACACACACACACACACACACACACACACAGGCACACACGGGTAATTTACATGGCTCACTTACTACACACCTGCAATTTGCTGATGCTCTTATTGTTATTTTAAAGTCTCATACACATGTATATACAGCTACAATTGAGCCAAATTTTCACTTAAATTTCAACTCCAAAACAAACATTTCTATGAAGACTTCTTGGGGCCAGGGATTTAGCTCAGTGGTTCTGGCGCCTATCTCTCAAGCGCAAGGTCCCGAGTTTGATCCCGGTACCAAAAAGAAAAAAGACTTCTTGCAGCACACAATGACAGAAGACAAACTTCTGATTTCGGCAGTTTTAAAATTTTTTTTAAATGTATAACTTTATTATCATTCACTAAACACGCACATATACAAAATTAAAATTATTCAAAGAAAAATAATACAAGGGAAAAAAACTGTAATAATCAAATATAGAACTCAACCAAAGCAAAACTGAAAAGTACTTAAACATTTCTCCATATAATTTAAGAAAACATCTCAAGCATTAACAAGACATCAGAGGATGTGATTTGTTTTAGAAAGATTTTCAAAACTAATATTGAACAAATAGTGGTCTGGAGAAAAAATTCTAACTAGTCTCCACATAGGCCAAATTTTTAAAAATTTCAATAGTCATATGACACGTGATGGAAATATAATCTGAGAAATAAGTTATTAGGCAATTTCATCCATGTGTACTGCAAAGTACCACACAGAGTGCCAACTTCTAAGTGCAAACTGAGAAGGTATACGTCAAACACCCGTGACGGCCCCTTGATATTATCCAAATACGCAGTTAAACACGAGATACCTGAGGCTACCACTGGCATAGCAGCACACTGTTTTACAGTAAACTCTTTTATGTAAGTAGGATTATGCGCTAAAGGATGAAAAGCACAGCATGTTATGATAAGTACCTACACCGGTAACAGGCATTTATCACACTATCGAGTGCTGTGTACTGTACATAGCTGTATGTGCTTCTTCTGGAAACATACCCTTCTCTCCTTTGATCTCAGTGACTCTTCCTTCCCAACCCACTGATGAGCTCCAGCCTAGTCTCTATCTGCATCTCTTCCTATAGTTTTAAACACAATCTATATATGGATTCTTTCCAGATTCCAGCCTGTGACTCTGATCTCTCCCCTTCGGCAGTTTTAATAGGCTAGCCAAACAGCCGCTGCAACTTCCAAGAAATAAAAAGCAGCATAAAATCATCCACATTCAGATCCCTCCCTGGAAAATGTGCATCTTTCCCTTAGTAGAATTTTTCATGCCAAAAAATGGTTTTTGCGCATCATGGCAAATAAATACAGCATTATATTTAACTTAATCTGACTCCTACCAATGAACACAAAATGTGTTCCAGAGTAAGAGAAGAAAAACTGCATGAGATGATCTACGGCTCAAAAGGGCAAACTGGCAAAGCAGCGCCCACTCGTTTAGCGGGCCCACTTTCTGGCGCCGGGATAAGCAGCTGCCTCGCGGCCCGCGGGGACTTTCGGAGGTGGATTTGTTCCTCCCACCACCGCCTCGCAGGCTCGAGGACGCGCCGCGGCCGGAACGCAGCCTCCCCGCCGTCGAGCCCGACAGAAGAGGTGGGCAAGGGGCTGGGCCCACTCGCCGCTCCTGCCCACGTCTGCCCCCCCCCCAAGGGCAAGGAGCTCCTTTGCTTCACACATTAGAGGTGGCCGATAGTTCTATCTGACAGCAATTGATGCCACTATCCGCGCTTCTAAAGGCGTTTGGAGGGTGGGTCGAGGACACGGGTCCTTGTCCTCTCCCCGTCGCGCCCTCGCGGCCCCCTCCGAACCGCCGTCGCAGCACGCGGGTACGGGAGCGCGGGCACGCACAATGCGCTTGCGCCAGAGCCCGCCGTCAGCTTCACAGCGCTCTCCCAGCCCCGCCCGGGAGCGTCGCTGGGCCTCCCGAGTTCCTTACACAGGCCCCGGCCCGGGGTGCGTCCGGGATCCACGTCCGTACGTGATGACGCACGCCTGTAGGAAGACGTGGGGACGCAGGCGGGCCATAGAGAGCGTGAGTTTCCGCGTTTGTTCAGCCCAGCTTGCGTAGTTGGTTCTGCCGGGTTTCTCGGCAGACTTGCGGGGCTGCGGGCTCCGGCAGCCTGGTGAGGCTGTGGATCCGCGGCCAGCGCCTGCCGGGGGACCTGCGCAGGGCGGTGCGCGCCGTTGGCACCCTCGGGGGGATCCGAGAGTGCGAGGGCGTCTTCTGGAACCTCTTCCCCGGGCGCTCGCCGCTGTTGCCAGCGTCGTTGTTGCTGGGGACCGACCTCGCAGGGACGAGGTGCCCCGGCGCCCAGAGGATGGGGTGGCTCTGAGGGAGTTTTGAAGGGTCCTTTCGAAAGCAGGAAGTTGACAGCGATGTTGCATCAGCGACACAACTTGCAGTCTCAAGCGCTGATGGGACAGTAACTTCTTAACAAGTGTGTGGCAAACCCAACCCTTGAACCCCAGAGTGGCGTTTCACTTAATAGGGAACGGGAAATCCACCTAAGTGAATTTGGCCCCTTTTTTGCTCATATCTTAAAAACCTTTGAATAGATTTTCCAAAAGCGGATCACAGGCTTATGTGTTTTTCCAAAGTGAGCATAAGCTCTTGAATTATCCAGGTGAATTATTGGGTAGTTATGATATTATTGGATAGTTAGGTTTCCCTTGTGGAGGCGTTTAGGGCCCTTACAGTACATTCAGTGGCACTAGACTTTTAAAAATTATTTGAAACTTCTTTTACGAAGTCTTCGTCTTATTTCTCACTTTTTCTTTTTTTTTTTCTTCCTCTAGTTCTAGTAAGCTTTATCTAGAGATCTGTCGTTTGCTGCTGACCAGGCATAGATTGTGAGAATGAATTATCTTTCAAAGGATGCTAGCAATGTAGTTATTCCTCAGTTGTTCAGGACTACTAGGATCAGCATTACCTGGTAACTTATTGGAATGCAAATTTTGGAAACATACCTAAGATTTACTGAATCAAAATATTTGAGCAAGTCTTCCAGTTGGTCCCAGTACACTTGGGTGGTAATGTTGAAAAGCTACTGTAGCCATAAAGAATACCCATTGTGCTGTCACAGATAATGAAATTTGAATTGAGGTGTAATAATAGAACCTTGGACTCACTTAAATGTTACTTTATGGGATTGTAAATATTCCAAGACTCAAGAAAATTTTTTAATACCAACACATACAAAACACTGAAGATGAGATGTTATAAGTAACTTGCTAGAACTTCATGAAATAAACATATAGATTGTGCTGGAAGCATTCTTTGTTAGGTTAGATGAATTTAGTGCCTAGGTATGAGCACTGCTGAGAGGATGTTATATCTCTTTACTTCCAGATTCAGTTGTATTCTAAATGGTCCAGTGTTGGATGCAGGGTCTGTTAGAAGTTATAGCCATGTGTACTAATACTAATGCTGTTGAGGCTGTAGTATTTTAAAAAATCATATTAGAATAGTAATCACGTCAGAATAGTTTTTAATTCTGGTCTTCTGGTTCCTTCAGCTAAGTTATACCTACTTTACTGAGGAGGATTTAGTCATGTCTAGAAGTAAGTGTTAGCGTGCTCGCTTCGGCAGCACATATACTAGAAGTAAGTGCTAGCTTTAGAGATGAGAAACATTGTCAGAGCAGTGACTGCAAGCAAAAGCCACGACTGACAGTGATTCTACCTTCCTTATGCCTGTGTCGTACAGCTCTGCCATAGCAAAACAGGCCCATATTTACTTTCCATACCTCCATTTTCTGGTAGGATCACAGGAGATAGACCCTCAACCTGCTGCTTTTTCAAACTGTTGGATGTGGTGTTTTCTTACAGCCGTTCCTTTTCCTTTTAAAGGGGCTGCTTTAGGGGTACTAAGAGAAATATTCAGGATCTGAAGCCACTGCCCTAAAGTCTAGCTTCACTGCAGTGCTGGAAAGGGTCAGTGCCAACCTGCAGCCTACGTATCGAATTACTTTGGAGAACACTGCTTCTAAGGCCACACGGGGCTCCTGGATATCGTGGGTGAGAGTTTTCAGGTAAACATGTCACTTCAGGTGTCAAGTTCTATAAATAATTTTGTTAACCTTCCTATTAAACACTATCTCATCATGAAACATTCGGGGTTTTTTTTCCATTTAGTTTATTGGTACATTTTAGGTATACAGTACAGTTACATTCATCAGTGGGATCTCGTACCTTTACATGATGTTGAAACATTCATTTTTTTGAAATCCATAAATATTTTTTTCTCCATTTAAAAAAAGGCAGATACATAGCAGTGGTTTTGAGTCTGGCAGAACTTTCTTTGAGTCCTGCCTCCCCTAAGTATTGATTGTGTTCAGTAGACAAATTAACATCTTCCCAGCTTTAATTTCCTCTGTAAAATAGGGGTCATAGGGTGCCTTCCTCAGATCATTGAAGTAGAATAGTGTGTAAAACATGTCAACCGTATGTTAGGCACAGAAGCTTAATAAATGTGGCCTTTTGGGGAGGGGAAGAAAGGGGAAAAGGAAAACCTTTGTCTCATCATTTCTTTATAATATATTTTATAAGTAAGGTAATTATTTGTACATAACTGCACTGCTTATGTGATAAAGGTGCTAGAGTGAATGGTTTCATATTCTTGTGAATCAGAGAAAGCAAATAATGGAGAAAAAAATGTTAATGTGTTAGAAAACTCTTCAATTTTATCTTAACAGAGAAACTTCTAGAAATTATTTTGTTAGTTTACTGGAAGATCAGGGGATACTAAATATTTGAGTATCTTTGGTGATTCTGCTGTAGGTGCCCTTAATGGGGACAGTAAGCTATATAATAGGAGATGCTGACTGTTACAGGAAATGGTACCTTAATTCAAAATGTACACTCAAGTATTAGAAAATGTCTGAAAGAGTTAATATTTTTTCCAATATGGGTGCTTAATGAGAGCAAACTAAAAACTTTTGAGTTCCATTTTTCTAAAAAAGTAATAAGAATCCTGTATATTTTTCTGTACATATTGCTATGAATATATGAACACAAAGTAGTTAGAACATTTATATTAAGTTATAATTTTGTTCACTTGGCGGTGTATTGTAATATGAGGATGGGAGCTAAGTGTAAAAGGAAATTATACATTTATGTAAAGTTACATATGTGCCTATATATATGTAAAATTTCTTTTAAAATGTTAAAAAGCCAGGCTTGGTGGTGCACACCTGTATTCTACATACTGTGGGAGGCTGAGGCAGGAGGATTGTGTATTCAGTTCCAGCTTGAATAACTTAGTTAGTGACTTGTTGAGATCCTGACTCAGAAGTAAAAAATGGAAAAGGGCTGGGGGTGTAGTTTGGTGTGAAGGCCCTGGGTTCTACCCCAGTACCTCAAAACAACCAGAAAAAACCTCAGCACTGTTTAAAAAGTAGAATCTGTGCTTTAAAAAGATAGATTTCCTTTAATGCTACAGTTACATCATTTAAGCAGTAGTCCTTGGTTTTTTGGGAGTTTTTTTTTCCTGAGCTGGCCTCTCTTCAGCAGAATCTTATTTGGAAAGTTCAGGATTGGAGAGGCTTTAAGATTAATGAGGTAGAAGGCCCAGGCTCTTGATCCAGGGCAGCCATAGTCCGAGGCAGAGGCAGGGTCAGGGAACCCAGGATTCCAGGGATCTGAGTGTGAAACCATCTGTGGGTTAGAAAACCTTAGGGCATAAGCTGTCCTTCAGAATTAACGACATGAAGAATTCTGGTGAGTGGGATTCACTAACCTGTACTGCAGTCAGATCCCAGGGTTTTCAGCAGAGCCCATCTATGTGTGGCTTCTCAGGCAGAGGCACGAGTGATTACTTTTTTAAATGCAGCCTTTAGCCTGACGTATATTGTACAAAAAAAGGATTCTGTACATATTTTTGACAAAATTAGCTTAAAAAGTCCCTCTAAAGTTGTGACAGCTGTATCACTATTGAAAGCTATTTAGTATTTTAACTATTGTTTAGCATGACAAATGACTTAGGGAAAAACAAGGAGTCAGGAAATACACATATGACTTGTGTTTACTATCCACTGTTTTTTGTTGTATGAAAGCAGCTGGTCTGCATTTATATAGTGAAGTGTTTTTTTAAGAGTTAATTCTTAGTTAATGAGCTTTCATAAGAAAAATAATCTCGAATGCTAAGTATTTGTTAGGTTGTTATTAATTGCGGGAGTAGTAATATTACATTGTCTTTTTTTCATCCATTGAGGGGTTCCTGGTGACAGCTGGAGGGTGGGGGAGGGGGAGTCACGTTCAGTCAACCAGCTGCCGTGTGCAGCATCATGATGGTGATATTTCAAAGCCAGTGGATAATTTTGGCTGTATTCAGAAAAGAAAATATATCAGATTTCTGGGATGCAATAGATGGTGTGCAAGGACCCTTTGGGATTTAGATGGTCGCCAACTAACAGTGTGTGCGTTCAGGTTTGCGTGTTGGTGTTATTTACAGTCTAGTTTCTTGGACTTTGTTGCATGCACATCATAATTACTAAGCAATAAAGTGTAGTTCCATGAGGGAAAAGGCTCATTACGGTAGGGAGAGGAAAGGAGAGTGAAAACAAACTTTGGTGATATGCTGTCTGCTTTCATATAAGATGTTATTTTATTTATTCTTCTCAGTGACTTGGAAGTAAGTGGATTGTCCCCCCGTCTGTGGATAAAGATATAGAAGCATTGCAGGAGTGATTATATGACTTGCCCAAGGCCACATACGAGTAAGTGGTGGCACCCAGATTTACCCCAGATCTTCTGACTTGAGCTCCAGGAATGTTGTCATGATACCAGCAGCTGATTTGCCACAGTGCTGACTTGCTTATGCATTTTAAATCCAAAATCCCAATATTGAGATACTAATGAATAAAATTTATACACATTACAGTTTTATATAAAACGTATGTGTGTGTATGTGTATGTGTGTCTGTGTGTTGGTAGCTGCATATAATTTTGCAGTTTTTCCTCGAGGAAAAAAGTCCCTTGGGCAACATTGAAAGAAATTGTGCCACCTCTTCTCATGTGACTAGTACTAGCAATTTTGGGGTTATGAGTGTTGCAGGGAATCAGTTGTGATTCCAAATTTGAACAAAGGTAGAAATATTGTACATACATCCTGTGCAGTCTCTTCCTTCACACCAACATATTAAAAGATACTCCTTTTTTTGTCTTTCAAGGCATGTTAATTTTATATTAATAAGGGACAGTTTTAGCTTTCTAAATTCTAGCCTGTAGCTATCACGTTCATCACATAATGACTGGAGATGAATCCTTGTATTTTCCTGAAATGATACTCTGTTGTTACTCTATTTTGGATGGTGATTCAAGAGTCAGCTTATCTTTTCATTGCCACAGACTGCCGGCAGTTGAATTTTCTTTTTCTTTTTCTCTCTTCACACCCCACATAAAACTTTGAAACTTATTTTTAATGTTTTTGGAACACTCCATGTACCTTGATACACAGTTTTAATACAAATATTCCTTGTTTAACGACCTGCCTGTTCAGTGACGTTCAGACGTTTGACTGAGGCACGCTGTTTGAACTTAGCACCTGCTGCTTGAATTTACAGCCTTTTTTTGGGTACTGTTCTGTACATCTTGCCTTTAGAGCCTTGATGTCTTTTTCTTTGTACAGTACACCTGGTTTGTACAGTACTGTAATGTTTGGTGATTGTACTGTACAGTACCATAGTTTTATGTTCTCATGTACATCATAGTACTGCATGTAAGAGTTATGCAAATAGAAGCCAAGTCATCAAGTTGGAGTTTCCTATGACTATTTCTTTGTTCTGAATATTGTAATATACATACTGTATACAATTCCTCAGTTAGTGACCAATTCATTTAACAACCTAATTGCAGAAATGGAACTCCGTCATTAAATGAGGAATGTTTGCATAGTTCTTTATCCCATGCTCATGCTCATCTTTGCTTCCCTTTCTAGGCTGTGGTTTCCTGAAAGGATAGTGTGTGTTTCTTAGTAGATGTTCAGACATTTGTTCAATGAAGGAATTCAGGCAGAGGTACAAAATCAAATGGATAATACTTATTGCTGTGGTTTCACATTATTGGTTTTCTTTTCTGTGTTCATGATTGGAGAAATGTGATGATCTATGTTTATAAATGAATTATATGATAGTGAAAGATGATGATGCACATCTCTCTTTAGGAAAGCATTCAGAACACTTTCATGTTTCTTCCTGAAGACCATGCTATTGAAGAGTTTGAAGAAGCCTCTTTGATTTTATTTCGGTTTTGATTGGATGAATGGTTGATTATCCTAAAGTTCTAGGCAGAGCCTTTCATTAAGTGACATTTTGTTAAATGTGTGTACTGGTCTTATTTTCAATGGTAAATAAAGGCAGGGAGTTTTAGCACAAAGTCTTTAGAAAAATCACTTCAGTAATTAGAAATACCCAAACCTTAACTTTGTGAAAACAGAAAACAAATTTCAGACTGTCTTTCCATTTGAGACACATTCTTTATCCAGTATCCAAGTACGTACACAAAGTATGTGACTTTGAGAAGACTTTTTTATGTAGAACTTGTTTTCATGTGACATCATTAGCTCTGTGTATTGCATTCAGTAGAAATGGGAATTGGTGTTACTTGAAATAAACTGAGATCTGTTTGTCAGCCCTTGCAAATGCCTAGTATTTGGGAGGTCTTTGATTACAAACAGCAGAAGCACAGTTATCTAATTTATCCAGGTAGCTTAGTTCACAACAAGAAATATATTAAAAGAATCAACAGAAAACCCAAATCACCAGACCTTCATAAGGGTCAGCAGCTAGTGAGTTCTTGGGTAGACTCGGTAGATCTGGAAAGCTCTTCAAGTTAATGCTCTGAGGATTATCTCTGAAAGTTGTTGGTCCCAGTATCGCTGCATAAATTCTAAATTCCAGGGAGAGTTATTCCAGCTTTGCTCACTACCACTTTGTACCCGAGCAGGAGAGGGAAACCCTTGATTGACAGCTCTGCCTTCCTCCCAATACCGTATGCTGTGAGAGCAGGGGATGCAGTCATGTTATTGAGAGAA